AACAGCAGCAACGGCAGCAGCGGCAAAGGCAACAGCAGGAGGAGATGCAACTGCACCAACTGATGGGGTCCTGGAAGCAATTAAGAAAATGCAACAGCAGCAGACACATGGTGAGGTGCTTGCTGGTGTGGATGCGAGTGCGGCATGGGCTAAGGCTTCATCAAGGAGTGGTGAGGCCGATTGGGAGACATGGCATCAGAGGATGTGTCATGTGAACTTCCCTATGCTGCAGAAGTTGGTGAAGGATGGGAGCCTAAAGGGCTTGGAGGTGAAAGGGGGAGTGAAGGAGATTGGGAGCTGCTCTACATGCTTGGAGACCAAGTTCTCCAAGTTCCCCTTCAACAGCACTACAGGACCAGCCAAGACCCCACTTGCACTTGTGCACATGGATGTGGTGGGGCCCACAAGAGCCCCTTCCCTCTCAAGCAGCCGCTATTTCTTGACAATTGTGGATGACCACACTCGGGCAGTGTGGGTTTACCCTTTGAAGAGCAAGGGGGAGGTGGCAGCGGCTGTCCTTAAGGAGTGGATGCCTAGAGCTTAGAGGGAATGCGGACACAAGGTTAAGGTGATCCGCAGTGATAATGGTGGGGAGTTCATTGGAGCTGATTTTGAGGGGGAGTTGAAGAGGAAGGGGATCCAACATCAAATGACAGTGCCCTACAACCCGCAGCAGAATGGCGTGGCTGAGAGGTTCAACAGGACCCTGCAAGAGGGGGCACGCACTCTCCTTGGGCGTGCAGGGCTGCCTGATCCGTTTTGGGTGTCTGCACTGAGGCAGGTCGCCCTTGTGAAGAACAGGGTGCCGGCTACAATTGGGGATAAGGAGTGGATCCCATATGTCAAGTGGTATGGGAGTGCTCCAGCTGTGAACATGCTAAGGGAATTTGGGTGCATGGTGGTGTTTCATGTGCCCAATGAGAAAAGGGGGAAGTTGGAGGCTTCTGGAAGATGGAGTGTGCACTTGGGGATTGCAAAGGATCACAAGGGGTGGCTGCTATGGGACTTGACCACCCAGAAGCTGACCGTGTCACGGGATGTAAAGTTCCTTGAATCCTTGTACTACAAGGAATGGAAGCAGCAGCAACAAAAGCTTCCATCTACACCTCTTGTTTTCAAGGCAGATGAGATGCAGCGGCCTTCAAGACAGGTGGAGGTTGCAGTGTCTGAGGAGGAGATGTCTGGAGTGACTGAGGAAGGGGGAGCAGCTGAACTGGAGCAGCAGCAACAGCAGCATGAGTCTCCACCTCGAGTTCCACACCCGCCTGAGCAACCTAGGAGGGATGCGCGCCCTCCCGTGAGGCTGACCTATGGGGGAAGAGGCAAGCCGAATGTGGTGCAGGCTGGGAGTGTGGTTGAGCAGATTGAGGAAGATGAGATCGCTCACTGCTACTGGGCACCAATCCCTGAGCCCAAGACTCGAGAGGAGGCCTTGAATGGACCAAATGGGGAGAAGTGGAAGGCGAGTGAGGATGAGGAGTTCGGGTCCCTGATTGAGAACGAGACATGGGACCTGTGTGACTTGCCCCCTGGGAAGAAGGCAATCACTTCCAAGATGATCTACAGGCACAAGTATGGACCTGAAGGGGAGCTGACCCGCTACAAGTCTAGGCTTGTGGCATGGGGGTTTCAGCAGACAAAGGGGAAGGACTATGATGAGGTGTTTGCTCCTGTGGGGAAAGGAACAACGCTGAGGGTGCTGTTGGCGATAGCTGCACTCCTGGGATGGAAGATACGGCAGATGGACATTGTGACTGCCTTTCTGAATGGGATCATTCTGGAGGAGGTGTACATGAAGCAGCCAGAGGGGCTGGATGATGGGAGCGGCAGGGTCTGCAGGCTGAAGAAGGCCATCTATGGCCTTAAGCAGGCGCTTCGTGCATGGTATCACAAGTTGGAGGAGGCGCTGTTGGCTGGGGGTTTCAAGAAGAGTGAGTGTGACCCCAGCTTGTTCCTGCTGCAGGAGAAGGATGAAATCCTCATGCTCTTGGTGTATGTGGATGATATCCTTCTCTTTTCTGCATCAACTGCTTTGCTGGACAGCGCAGAGCAGATGCTGGAGATGCAGTTCAAGTGTTCCAAGATGGGTGAGGTAAAGTACTACTCGGGGATGCATGTGGAGAGAGATGTGGAAAAGGGTGTGCTGAGGTTGCACCAGAGGAAGTACTGTGAGGGGCTGGCTGAGAAGTATGGGCTGCAAGTTGGGGGAAAGCCAGCAACACCACTACCTTCGGGAGGAGGTAGTGGGTGAGAGTGACAGGAAGCTGTTTCATTTGATGGTCGGGTCGCTGAATTATGCTGCAAATCATACACGGCCTGACATTGCATTTACAACATCACGGTTGGCTAGTGTGGTCTCACGCCCTAGTCATGAGCAGCTGGAAGCGGCCAAGAGGTTGGTCCGCTATGTGAGCGCTACGGCATCAGTGGGATTGGAGTACAGTGGAGTGAGGCAGCGGTTGCAGAGAGGTGCTGCAGATGTGAAGAGTGGAGAGATGCTCTTGAGTTGCTATACTGACGCTAGTTTCAACTCAGTGAAAGTGGATGGCACCAGCATTGGGGGTTATGTGTGCTTCCTAGGAGGTGGTACTGTGAGCTGGCGCAGCAAGAAGTAGAATGAGGTGGGATTGTCCTCATGTGAGACTGAGTACATGGCCTTACACCATGGGGCCAAGGAAGTGGTGTGGCTGAGGCGCTTGTTGGAGGAGTTGGGAGTTGGCCAGGAGGAGCCGACATTTGTGTTTTGTGGCAATGAGTCTGCAGTGAAGCTCGCCAAGAATGCTTGTCTGCATGGGCTGACAAAACACATAAGGCCTAAGTGGCATTGGGTGAGGAGACTCCTTGATAAGGAGGTGCGGCTGGAGATAGTGAAGACCCATCAGCAGGCAGCATATATTTTCACTAAGCGTCTAGCAGAGGCGGATCATTGGAAGGGTATGAAGCTTGCTCGGATGAGTGTGCATTAAGTATGCATGCTTGAGATGTTGGTATGGTGGATGATGGTTTGCAGCCAGAGGGGGAGATTATTGTGTGATGTCATCATATGCTATCACATTCTGTCTGCCTCCCATCCCTCGTTTCAATTCGCATGTATGGTTTGACTGTGTGTGAAAGAATTTTGTCTGGTGTGTGTTCTGGAATTTGGGAATGTGTTTTGTGTTATTCTGTCTGAGCAGGTATTTCTGATGATAGATCTTGAGAAGATCTTTCCGACGCAATAAGAATCGCTTCAATCGGAGCAAGAACGCGAAAGCTATGAAGATTCAAAGTTCATGAGCTTGCGTTACAATTGCGGCGGTTACAAAGTGAAGTTGTGGGGTGACTCTATATGGAGTTGGGACCTTTGGGGTTGGGGAAATTTGTCACTCTACTGTAACAGCTGCAAATTAGTTGGGAACAACCAAGCTAGGTTGGCAAGGGTGGCCAACTTGGTTGGATTGGTTGGGAAGGGACAAATGTCAAAGTTGGGGTTCCTATAGGAAGGGAATATTTGTGCTTATGGGGTTTCCTTGGTTGGGGACTCTCTTGGGACCTTCCCTCTCATCCCTCTCTTCTTTCCCAACCTTTCTCTTGCTCCTCTAATTCCTTGTTGAGATTCTTGAACTTTGATTGAACTTTTGAGATTGAGTTAAGTTCTCCTCCTACAGCTTAACCCCCAGTGCGTCGAAAAACATAGCGTCGCGAATGCTCCATCAATCGACGTGATTCAACTTGAGAATGGTAGCTAAGATTACAAGCTACATCATATCCGATTTTCGCGACATTCCAACGGCTAGGTTTTTGTCGATGTCGTTTCTTGTGAAGACGACTTTTCTCTCCAGAATTTCGGATTTATATTTTGAGTAATTCTAGCTCCTAAGTTCACCTAGACTCCGTCCTTAATCCTAACAAATGGACCTTCCCCTAGGGGAATGTGTGCATGAGCTGAGATGAGATGAGATGAGATGAGATGAGATGAGATGAGGTGATAGGAGATGAGAGGAGATGGTCAGAGTCCTAGAAGGGGAAAGAATGCCTGATGATTGCTCGAGGTGGTGTGGTGTGCTGAGCAGGGCAGAAGATGGGATGAAGGCCACGGGCGATGGACGACGGGCTGAACGAGGGGCGGAGCGAGGGGCGGAGCGAGGGGCGGAGCGAGGGGCAGAACGAGGGGCAGAAGGAGGGGCGGATTGAGGGGCGGAACGAGGGGCGGAACGATGGGCGGAACGAGGGACGGAACGAGGGGCGGAACGAGAGCGGAACGAGGGGCGGAAGGAGGGGCGAAAAGAGGTGAATGATCCGGCTGAGGGAAAGAGTGGTGCAGCATTTGGGCTGCTTGCTCGCAGTGGTGCACAGTGGTCGATGCAAGCAAAGCAACGCAAAGCAAGGCAAAGCAAGCACGGAGGGTGAGAGAGAGTTGTGCACTGTGTGCAGGTTATGCACTGCACTGCATGCAGTTAGTTGGGGTTGCAGGGGTTGTCATGTGATGTCGCCACACTACGTACAAGTAGTAGAGATTCTGGAGGTTGGAAACCCCATCCGGTATGGATCCTCCTAAAGCCCCATTGTAGCTCAGACATCTGGAACACACACGCAGCCCACGGGACGAAAGCATGCGCCCACCCGGGGGGGTGGAGGGGGGGAGGGGAGGAGGGGTGGAGAAGGAGAGAGGTTGCGGAGAAGGGGGGGGGGAGATACGGAAACAAAGCCATGAGAATGCATAAGGGAAAAGCTTAGACAGGCCAAAAGGACACGAAGTACACAGCACTTGATCTGAATGGGGAATCTTTGGACGCAACAACAACGCCACGAATGCAATCAGTAAGTTTACTTGAGGCAAAGAGCCATCCGGCTTCCTATGCCTGACGTTATATATATATACATATATATATATACACACATATATACATACATATATATATATCAACACAAAACACGCTTTCAGACGCAACCGCGACACCACGAAATATATCAGCTTACAAGAACTGAAGACCGGTAAGAGATCCTATGACTGACGGCAGGGACCCGTTGATGCCCTTGTTACCCTGTCGGCTGGTGGGACGAGAGAAGGGATGAGGAAGGAGGAAGGGATGACAGAAGGGACGAAGAAGGGATGAGGAAAGGACGAGAGAAGAGACGAGAAAGGGATGATGAATGGGTGATCCAGGTGGGGGAAGGGAAGAGGAAAGGAGAGAGGGGGTTGCTTTGAAGATGAGAAACAAACATAGGACGGGAAAAGAGAGAAGATGTCCGCAAGCAGAGACGCGGGAAAGGAGCCTAAGTACGAACGGACTTGATTGGTAAGGGAGAGCTAGGCGGCGCATGGCAGCGGCGTGGCAGGGCATGGCATGGCAGTGGAGGGGCACTGGCAGTACATGGCAGAGAATGACAGGGCATATCATGGCAGCGGCATGGCAATCGGAATCGGATCCTGGAAGCGACCCCAATGGCCGCCATGACAATCTCAAGGCCGCCATGGCCATGGCTGATAGTTTCAGAAATCCCAATGTCCAGCAATTTCTTGCCTGATTTAGCAAGTTTTTTGGATTCCACGTAACGAGCTCAATAGTGCTGTCCCCTATTAGTGTTCATACAGAGGACCTAATGGCAGCAATATGCAGTTCAGGCAATCCCAAGACGTGCTCAACTTTCAAGGTCAGGGAACTATCAAGGGCGACAAGTTACAGAACTAAAGATGCTGCAGAATGCAACCGATCGATGCATTGTCAAGGAGATCAGGACCAGCGTTGGAAATGGATTACAAGTGTGCCAGCTTGGCTGCTCAACGAGGCTATGGGAGCCTCGCTGAAGTACTGTATGGTTTAAAGGTGCTCAGAAAGTCACATTGCTCTGTCATTAGAAGACAGCTTTGGGGAGCTCATCATTGCACGATGACACCGAAGAAAGCCGGCATGGTCACTTGAGCAGGCCATAGGCCTACCCATGGAGATGAGTCGGAATCTGACTCAACTCCTCCTCTGAACCCGGCGTCGTCGCCCAACAAGCAGCCCCAAGGCCAGTCTCTAGTCAGGGAGGCCGTCCCCTTGCATCACATGGGGTTGTCTGCTCCTCCGCCGCCATCCCCGCCATCACCTCCGCCGTCCGTCGTTCTGCGTCAGGTGTCCCCGGAACCTGTGTGCCAACAGGGTGTTCCGTCGCCGATTGTCCAGGAGGTTTCGGTACCTGTGCAGGGGGAGATCGGGTTGGAGGCTGCAGAGGACAAAGAAGTCAATGATAGGCATCTTAGGGATGACCCTGAAGAATGCCGGATCCGATTAGGATTCAGGAGGTTGCTGCGAAGATCAAGCACTCAATCACGCTCCTGATCCCGGTGTCTCACCTGAAGGAAACGATAAGGACGAAGGAGACCCTTGCAATCCTGCTGATGCTATGGAAATCGGAATTGTCGCCGGAAGCGTTGACAACTACGACTTACTTGGAGCTGAAGCCGGCCTATATTTCGGAAAACCGCTTTGGCCACATGCAAGTTACCTTTCAGAAGCAGGTTCTTGAACATCAGTACATAGATGGCAAAATCATCAGGCTGAAGTGGTTTCATCCGGAGAGTGCAGAGTACCGACGGATGCTGGCTATGAACGACAAGGATATTCCGGCAGCTGTCTCACCTGAAGTCCTCTTTGATCTGCTGGTGAAGATTCCGCTTGTCAAATGGAAACAGACGCCATTCCAGGACAGTTTCTACTTTCATTGGATCAAGGATCCAGCTACTGGGGATATCACGAACAAGATCAGAGGACTGGTGCTTCAGCACCCGGGGGATAAGTACCGCTGGCGTCACCTGGTGGAAGTCTCGCCGCTGGAAGGGACTCAGTTTCGTGTTCATTACCTGTGTCTCACCTGTGATTACTGTGGTGGCCAGCATATGTCGAAGTTGCATGACGACTACGTGATGGCTAGGCAGAGTAGCATGGACACGTGGAAGCTAACATTGGGTAGCCTGCATCAGATCAACGGCAACACGGTCAATCTGGTTTTGACATGCTCGCAGTATGGTCTTTCTCGTGCTCCTCCTGTTTTGCCTGACCATCCGTCCGTCCACTCTTCATGCAGCCGCTTTGCTCATGCTGACAAGTCAGGTCAAGAAGCTGCTGAAAGATTCGGCCATTGCCTTGGTCTCCACTGGCTCCTGTCGCAAAGAGAGGATCTGCATGCAGGGCTGCTGTGAGAAGGCGCATGGGACCACCGAGGCAGGTATGTTGCACAGGCTCGCCATCGTGCGGGTCTTCTGGATCTATCGGCGGCAACAACACGCAACTGCAAGGATTTGATCAGCACAGTTCTCATCAAGAAGGACTATGGATTGTGACACCAGCTAGAGCCCGACAGTCAAGCAGTCAGTCCTTGGTCATGGGAACGGCGTCATGCGTAGCAAACCTCACCCGCGTGAATAGGGTATTGCTGCTCCTGCCGGAACTTGCTGTAGCCTTGTCCTCATGTAGTAGTGTGTTAGTAGTAGAGTCACCATCTTCTCATGCGCCCTGTGAATGCTTGGGGCCCTCTGCAACAGTTGTCCATAGATAGGAATCCCCAGCTGTCCATCTACGGGTATAATGTGAACGGATTGGGAAGTATGGGAAAGAGGATCAAGTTAGGAGCATGGGCGCATCAAACAACGAACATAGTGGTTCTAGCAGATACCAAGATAGCGGCAGACCATAAATTTTGAACAGATCTGGGGGCGGAGGCTACTGCAGCTGCCTCACCAGAGTAGAGAGCGAGCGGGGTTAGCGTGATCTGTTTTAAGAAGGGGATGGTGTTCAAGCATGTGGAGGCGCACTCATCTGGAAGACTGCTTGGTGTCAAATTGGAGTGGGAGGACTCAAGTGTGCTCCTGGTTGCTGCCTACTTCCCGGCACAGGCATCGGACAGGGGGATTTTTATATGGGACGCCCTTGCTCCTTTTGTAGCGGCTCTCTCGGCAGCAGATCACCAGGTCCTAGTGGGGGATCTGAACTTGGTGGAGGATCCGGATATGGACAGATCCACGGGAGTGGGTTCATCGGGGGAGAACAGGAGGTTGATGCAGATCCTGGCGAGCTTCAGCATGGGGGACACCTTTAGGAACTTCAACCCGGCGCTGAAGGAGTTCACGTACCGGTACAAGAAACCGGGAGGGGACTCACGTATTGATAGATGTTTAATCTCGCACTCCATACTGCACCTGGTGGCGGGGGCGAGACATGTTATGATACCAAAGGGAATTTTGGCTCACAGTTTTGGCGCCTTCCTCCTGTTACGAGACAAGACACGAGGAGGCTTTGGTCCAGGGATTTGGCGCCTGCCAGTGACCTTCGCGGGCCGAGAAGGGGTCAGACTGAGAGTGGAACGGGTGGTCACGAGGCATCGGGAGGAAGGCTCTGACTGCTATGACAAGTTAATAGACAGGCTGAGAGCGGGCTTATCATTGTATGTGCTTGAAGAGCGGAAGCGGGTTAAAGAAACTCGCCTTCACTTCGAGCAGAGTGTGGCGGTGCTGCGGCAGGAGGTCATGCGTGGGCAAGCATCTGTACGGCTGCAGGCAAAGCTGCCAACGCAGGAGTCACTGCTTGTGGCGTATGAAGATAGTATCAGGTGCAGGCTGCAGCTGCTGGCAGGGGAGGGGATGGAGTTGGTAGGCGAGGTCCCATCGGTGTACCTGTCGGTGAGGATCAAAGCTCGGAAAGGGAGGACAAGAATTAAGCAGCTACTTCATGGCGGCAAGACAGTCATGGCGCAGAACGACATCCTGAAAGTTGCAACACAGCATTTCAGGGTGGCGTTCGAGGGTAGTACGGAGCGGGAGCGGCCTGAAACCTGGATGGGGGGGGAAGGGAGGAGGCTGAGAGTGCTTGAAGGTGTGGAACTTGAAAAGCCTTGGTCATAGAAGGAAGTCAAGCAGGCGCTGTGGGAAATGGCGGACAGGAAGTTGCCGGGCATGGATGGGCTGCCGAAGGAGCTCTTTCAGAGGCAGTGGGATCTGTTGGGCCCCTCGGTGTGGAAGATGGCGCGGGATTTTGAAGTCCCGGGCCACCTCCCCCCACAGGCAAGTGGCACTGAGACAATCCTGCTGTATAAGAAAGGGGGAGAAGAGGACATTGGGAATTATCGTCCGATTACGCTCCTAAATGCCTCCTACAAGATCTTGGCGAAGGTCTTGGCGAACCGCATGAAGTCGGTCATGCACAAATGCATCTCAGGGGAGCGATTCGGCTTCATTGCAGGTAGAAGGCTATCGGATGCAGTAACAATTGTGGCGGACGTCATTGAAGCTGCCAGGAACAGGGACAAGGACTGGTACCTTCTCCTGGTTGATTTTGAGAAGGCCTAGGATTCAGTCCACCGGAGTTTCTTGTTCGGGGTGATGGAGAAGATGGGATTTCCGAAGCGGTTCATAAAGTGGGTGACTGGTCTGCATGATCGCTTAGGGACCAAACTGGTGGTGAACGGGTGAATCGGAGATCGGATTGAGGTCACGAAGGGGGTGAGGCAAGGATGCCCGCTGGTGCCGTATCTCTTCCTCTGCGTCGTGGAGCCGCTCTGCAGAGAAGCAGAGAGGAGGAGTCTGGGGCTTACGTTGAGAGGGAACCAAAGGTTAGCGTATGTGGGATATGCGGACCACACCTTGCTAATCATGAATGGAGCAGCTGCAGCGGGCGGAAGTCCTGTTAATTGAGTCCGGGGAGCTGTCGGGATAAGGGACAAACACGAACAAATCGACGTTGATGCCGCTCGGGAGGAACGTCAGAGCGCTGCTACCGCGCAAGTCTAGGTTGAAGTGGCTGAAAGGGGACGAAGCAAAGCGGGTGCTTGGCATATGGATCTCACCGTGCGGTGGGGCGGGAGCCACCTAGGATAAAGCTCTTGCTAGGGTCAAGGAGACGCTGATGAAGTGGCAGTCCAATTTTTTGACCACCTCGGCAAGAGTAACGATCTGGAACAGCTACGTGATGTCGGTGCTCCTCTTCCAGCTGCAGGTGTACCTGCCGCCAGAAGGGATTTGGAAGAAAGCGGAGAAGTTGTGTCAGAACTTCGTGTCTGGTAACAACGCGGATGTGGAGAAACATTTCACGCTGTGGAGCAAAGAATTCACCTTCAGGGATCGGCAAGATGGGGGACTGGGGGTGGTTGATCCAAAAGCGAGGGTTGACACCCTAGCACTAAGGAACATTGCGACGGCGCTGGTCCAGCCATCCTTGCTGAGACAGAGTCTTACCAGGCAAGCGGTGGCTCTTCCCTTGGGATGGGCTTCCCTTTATGCTCATTTCTCCCTGCTCAGCAACTGGGGTGGGGGGAGTGAGCTTTGGAAGCAGACGGCGGCAGTGTGTATGGAGAACAAGGTAATACAAGTCCCCGAGGCGAGTCACAGGTGGGACGTGGAGCAGGAGTGGCTGTCCTTCAATAAGCACATATGCATCAGAGGGAAGACGCCTTTTGCAAAACAGAAGGGAGCGGAGGGGCTGATGGGTTTGACGGTAGCGGACCTGAATGTGAAGCACAGGGTCGATAAACGGCAAAGGACAGTGTGCTGCTTCGTGCTGATGTGGGGGACATCGGCCTGGCTAAGGTGGCGGTAAAGGCCTTCAAAACATTACTGGAGGCCTGTAAAGGTCGAATCTAAAGAAGCTGGAAGCTGAAGAGATTTATCAAGCAACGGAGTTTGTGAGGACGGCTGGTTACCCGATGCCTACGATCTGGACGTGGGAGGTTACAGAGGTGCGCGAGGGTTGTCTGCTCTGTAACAAGGTAGAAAGGTTGTTGAGGTGAGGAGATGTACCATGGCAGAGAGTTTTTGAGCCGACAGAGGTTACTCCGTTGCTGGTAGTGGAGGAAAGGATCCTGGGTTTGTTGGGGTCCCAAGAGGCGAGACTGCTGAGCACAAAGCTGTTTAGCGAATGAAAGATTGCGCAGATTAAGGACCTGCGGAAAGGCGTGGTCGGAGGCAGTATGAAGTCAACGCAGCAGGTGTGATGGGAAGAAAGGAGGGGTGCAAGTATCGTCTGGAAGAAAGCGTTTCGGGTTCGTGACTCACTGGCCACTCCTCAGCGGGCTAGGGACGTTGTGCTGAGGGTCCACTGTATGAATCTTCAAGTGGGGGAGAGGCTTCCTTTCCTAGGGGAAGAGGCGAGGTGCCCTCACTGCGGAGAGGAAGAGACACTGGCGCACTGCATGTTTGACTGCAGGGTGTTTCAACCGGTGGTGAGGGTGATGAAGAGAGTGCTGAAGATGGTGAACCCATCGAGGCACGTAGAGATCTTGGAAGACCTGCTCTTCCAGCCACCATGCACACGGTCGGGTTTTCCGGAGGCAGCGGTGGCAGCCATCTCTGTTCATCGTCTGTGGGTGGGCAGATGTGATGCGGTTTTCAGGAAGGAGAAGTTGCAGCCTAAAAAGTTGCTTCATCTGATCAACGTGGATGTCAGCTCGTTGGTCAGGACTTTTCTGTACACTCGGAGGAAGAGGTGCCGTCAGGGTAGACCGGGTAAAAGGAATCAAGTGGGGTGACAGCGCAGCAGAAGAGGAGGACCGGGTACTGTGCCGCATTCTGGACACCTCAGCGAAAGGGATTTGGTGGAACACGAAGTTCCAATCAATTTGGACCAATCCGCACACGCTTCACAAGCCTCTGTGGACAGCTCGGTAGAGGTACGGCTTTACACGCCTAGGCCTCTTAAAAGAAGTTACGACTGAGGGCTTTTTTTTTGTACTATTCCGTATAGTGCAAATTTCCCTGCCAAACAAATAAGGTGCAAATTTCCTTATACGGCAGCGGCATGGCTGAAAGGGCATGGAAGGGCATGGCAGGGCATGGCATGGCATGGCAGGGCATGGCATGGCATGGCATGGCATGGCAGGGCATGGCATGGCATGGCATGGCAGGGCATGGTAGCTGCATGGCATGGCAGCGGCATGGCAGGGCGAGGCGTACAGCGCGGTGAGGTTGACAAGGTTACTGATGGAGTCGGGAATGGGCCCTTGCAGATTCTCCTCTGCTATATACCTGCACACATCACCACAACCGCAATGACACAAGACGCGGAAAACATCAAGCACAAAAAGACGGCGATGTTCAACCCAGTGGACGACATCACGGCCGACCTGGCCATCTGACACCGGGACTCCAGTGCGGTGTGGATCTGTGATGTCACTATCACCGACCCCATCAGCACCCGCGACCCCACGGCCCGCAAGGGCAGAGGATACATGGCACGGGAGCAGGCGGGGAAAAAGATGCACCACTACCGCAACCGCATGGCCTACGTGGGCCTGTTCCCCCTGGCAGTCGAAACCTACTGCTGCCCATGCGACGAGGTCCCCCAGTTCCTGAAGCTCCTGGCCCACACTGCCGCCAGGAGGCTCTTCAACGCGGACCCTACCTCATACCAGGCAGCGCGACTGCTCCAGCAGTTCCACCAGCGCTGGTCGGTCACCCTGTAGCGTGCCCAAGCTATTGCCTACCTGGAGAAGGTACATGAGGCGGCGCTGGTAGACAACCCCCCCGTGGGCTGCCCTGGGGCCGATTTCTTCCTAGGGGATTGTTTTGCCATTCTAGAGCCCCTGGCCGAGCCACCTTAGTGGGCTCCATCGGGGGGGAGAGGGGTACAGGGATCGAGCTTGTGTAACTTTCCTTCTGTCTCGGTTGTACCCAGGTTCCATCTAATACACGGACCGCTTGAGAGAGAGAGAGAGAGAGAGAGCTAGAGAGAGAGAGAGAGAGAGAGAAAGCGAGAGAGAGAGAGAGAGAGAGAGAGAGAGAGAGAGAGAGAGAGAGAGAGAGAGAGAGAGAGGGGCCGAGGTCCCTACCTTCCTGAAGTTGCTGGCTGACACAGGGGCCAGGAGACTCTTCAATGCCGACCCAAGTTCCTACCAGGCAGCGAAACTGCTCCACCAGTTTCGCCAACGCTGGTCAGTGACGCTGCAGCGGGCGCAGGCCTTGGCTTACCTGGGCAAAGTAAATGAAGCCTCCCCCGCCACCCACGCCCCAGTAGGCACCCCCGACGCCGATATGGCACTAGGGGACGGCTTTGCCATAGCAGAGCCCCTAGGGGAGAACGAGTAGATCCGAGCCCCCAAAACATGCATGTACCTTGACTTGCTACCCCTTGCCTGCCTAGCCTGTACCAAGGTTTTCCAAGCAATAAACGGACCGCTTGAGAGAGAGAAAGAGAGAGAGAGAGAGAGAGAGAGAGAGAGAGAGAGAGAGAGAGAGAGAGAGAGAGAGAGAGAGAGAGAGAGAGAGAGAGAGAGAGAGAGAGAGAGAGAGATTGGAGGGAGAGGCAGGGGGACGGAGAAGCCAACGAACAGGCCCGAGGAAGTGGAGACGAAGAAAGGGGGTGCAAGGAGAAAGGAAGGGCAAGAAGAAAAGAGAGGTAGGAGGAAGGAGGACAGAAGGAACGAGGGGCAGGAGGGAGAATTAGGAGGTGGAGAAGGGAAGGGGAATGGGCCCACAACCTGTCTTCTTTTTTGCCTCTACTATAGTTGACGACAAGCAAGCGGTCGCATGAACTGCACTCGAGAGTAAAGTGATTCTCACCGCCTAAAGCCAAACGGCCATATAGGATACTGCTAATCGGGCACGTTTCCCCTGCCAACCGGTCATAAACAAGTACTGAAGAGAGGCCCTTTACTGTGGCACAGTGTTGGCAGGACAAGTCCGACTCAACCGGCTAAAACCATCAAACTTATTTCAAGAACGATTTTACTTGCTACAGCTTCGGACTAGCAAAACAAGACAAATCTGAGTCTCAAACTTATCTCCACTCATTGACAAGAGCTCGGGCCCTCGTCAGCGACTCATTTGATCGGAGCTCGCCATAGTTGTGGAGTCGAGTAGAGAGCGGCGTCTAATGGCGTGCTAAACACACCTTGTGAGGCTTCGTATGTCACAGAAAGGACGGGGGAAACCCCTACGAGACTCGTCAGCACGAACAGCGCGCCGAGCCAAAGGCTTCCCGCGCCGTCCGCGCTCATGGCGAAAGGGCGTCGCATGGCGACCGCGCTTCCACGCGACGGGAACGAAAGCCCAGCCACGATTCTTTATACGGTGGAGCGGCGATGCTGCAGCGTTGACGTCTTGGAGACGGCGGCGATAGTTGATAGATTTCTACTTTTATCAAACAAAGTCTTCACACGTTCAGCGGATTATCGTCACTGACTGAATGCGAGCAGGAAGTGGGGCGACGAGAGAATCTGGCGAGAAGAGCTGATGATTCTACTACATCGCAAAAAAGGTGTGCTCGCAAAACGATTGCGTAGCATTCGAGCGAATGCTTTGCAAACGTTTTGCGAACATGTGGGTGAAAATTCATGGCGGACTAAGATCAGAACACTTGGCGAATGCTTGGGCAACATTTCCCGAAACACTTTTTGGTTCACGACAGCGAATGCTTAGCGGTGTTTTTTCGGTGTACTCCGTGGTTCGTTTACAAATGCATGGCGGTGTTTTTAGGAAATGATATGAAGTGAGCTTGTGAATGCATATAGAAATATATGCTGACGATTTCTATTATTCAGTATGATTCGTTGAAAACGTCTGGCGGTGTTTTTTTATGGATCCGTTTTTGCAGCATGCGGTTCCCATTACGGCATGGTTCAGTACAATTAGGGCTCGTCGTTTGGATTTAATTACTGTAAAAGCTGCTAATAATTTGTTTTATTAAAATAACATCTACACCACAGTACACAACCACGATGGCCCAATCGCCATTGCCTGCCAGCACCCCTTGGGCTCCCACCAATAACCAGCTTCCCAACAGCATACTAACCCCTATCTCCGTGGCAGCTGGTGATGCGACATTTCCGGTAGGGCCACTACTGTGCCTTCAACCCATGTGCCGCTAGGCCTGCCTACTCCTGCCACTGTTGATTGCCCGCCATCTCCCATGATGGCTGCCCATGTCACCTACCGCTACTACACTGACACCTTGTCCGCTGCCTCTCATGTCTCTGCCTGTCCCTGCGTACTGTTCACGCGTTCGCCCATGGTGCTGCAAAGATCCACCGTAGAGGCCCGCCTGAACCTGCCCCCCTTTAAAACCTTCAAGTACACAATTCCTGCCCTCTGCCAGTGAAGCCACCTGAACCCGCTATGGCCCAACCTTTCAATCTGCGTCACGTCCTGTTGCTGCTGCACTCTCACCCAATCTGCCTTATGATGCTACTGTGCGACTTGACAACTGCTTCGGCTTCAAGAACTACCCCGGCCAGGACCCCTGGCCACTGGCGGCCTTGTTGCTCTGATCCAGACCCACCTTCTCCGTGTCACCACCCCTCACCCCTTTGCCCCCTGCTCCTCCTCCTTACCCCTGGTCGTGGCCTTGCCATCCGTTTTCATGCCAGTCTTCCCTTTCCTGTCCTTCCACTCCTCCTCGAACCCACTCTCATGGATGTACAGGCCGTGCTCCCCCCACTTGAACCCCTTCATTTCCCTGTTGTACTCTCTTGGGTGCTCGTCAAACCACTCAATCACCACCTGGCGCACGAGCTTGCGAACGGCCTCGACCCATGCCTTGTTCTTGGGGTGGGAGTTGGATAGGGCCATTGTCTGAGTCTTGACGCGCGCCAGCCCGTAGTCGACCTGTCATGGCCGGGGGGTTGGGAAAGGGAAAGGGGGGAGAGGGGGTTGGGGGAGGGGCCTATGTAGGGCGAAACAATGTGATCACAAGCGGCAAACGATCCATGAAGCACCCCATCAAGGCACATCCCATAGCCTGAACTCACCACCATGAGGATCCAGGCAACGTGGTACGCCTTCAAGCACACTGCCCAAACCCCTCCACAGCCGCGTCGAAGAAGAGCAAGTTGGCGAAGGGCTGGCCGCTCTCCTCACCCTCAAGTGAGTTGGCGTTGCCCCACGTGCTAACCACTTGGCCGAGCTCCTCATCTGGTGGGGTTACAAGAGGGTAGCATGCGCGGGAGTGGGGTTCGGGGCCGTCTCCAAGGGGCCATGCACACCATGGTTATAAGAGGCATGCATGGGCGGAAACAGCAAGTCACGTCACTCACCTGGCCTCAAGGCCCTCCACAATTTCCTCTTGACCTTCAGGTCAAGGAGGATCTTGCAGGCGCGGGACCACTTCATCTTCACTCCCAGCGCGGTTAGTACGAGGCGCTTGATGGTAAAGGCGCGCTCGTTCTTCCAGACCGTCCATACGCGTTTGAACGGCTTGTTGTAGTTCTCATTGTTGAGTGACTCCAGGACCTCCACAAGAGTCACGTCGTAGCCCAGTGACACTAGGCCGCGATGAAGCACGCGGCAACGGGTCTTGTGGTTTTCGTAGAAATCGATGACCGCGTCCGGGTTGTGGATGCATATTTCGTCTCGCATTGCCTCATAGTGGATCTGTAATGGAGGGTGGGGAGGGCCAACAGGGAGAAGGGTGGGTGTGGGGTGGGGTACTAGAAAAGGGGGGTTTGGGACCGCGGTTGAATGTGGGGCTGGCGAACACATGTGGCGGTGCCTGGGGTGTGGACGGACGGCTAGTAGGAGTCGGAACAAACAGTCACAGCCATGGGTTTAGGCATTGGGCTGGCGATGCATCACCAGGCAGCAACCGAGACGTGGTGAGCGCTGAGGGATCTGGTGGCTTGGCGGGCGGGTACAGCGGCCGAGGAGGTGGGGCCGGGGGGGGGGGGGGGGGGGAGGGGAAAGGTGGAAACGGAATTTTAGGGTGGGCTGCCTGTGGGAGGGTGGGGTTGGGATCAAAGTGGGGGACCTGTCAAAAAATGAATAATGGCATCACACACGTGACTCACCGGGATGTTGCTCACGGAGGGCATGCCTCGACGCCTCGTCCGGGGGCGGTTCCCCCCCACGCTCTCTCCGACCGCCTCGTCGTGGTCACTAGACGCCGACGCCAAGCGGGGAAGGTGCTGCCCCCGCGCCCTCTTGAGCTGCAGAATCTCGATAGCCGCCTCGCGCAGAAGGCTGAACATGCGGGCGGCGGACAAGTCGCGCAGCATCTCCTCCATGCAGGCCAGGGACTCCCAGGTGTAACCTCGAGTGTTAATCTCGCCCTCAAGCGTCCGTCTCCGTTTTGCCTCCACGTCGGCATGAACCCGCGCAGCGTCGTTCTCGGGTCGCTTAAGGCCAGCAGCATCCACTCCTTGGTCGGGGCCGCTCGCTCCACCCTCCCATCCACACTCGGCCGCTCGTCCATCTGATCGTCGCGACGGCATGCCCGATACCTGTGACGCATCCATGCCCCCGCCCCCCCCCGGCCGCTCGTTCGAAGCGCCTCGGGGGTGTAGGACAGCGGGGGGGAGCGGCTTGAACGGTGAGGCGCCGCCCAGGGTGTTTTCAACATCGCGTAATGTGGTCGGTGTGTTGCGGCCGTTGTCGAGCTCCCTCATTCCGTCAGTGAGCCAAGGCCGCCACACGTGTGCAGGCGCTGCCTCTACGGATGTTTGCTCAAACCGCAACTCCCGCCCAGTGCCATAGCCGGACTTCTTTTGTCTTTCACCACTGCCATCAGCCTCCACCGCAGCCTCCCTCTTCACACCCCTCCTGTCCAGCTCCCCGCATTCCTCTGCCGGCAACGCCTTGTCGGTTGCATACGCCGGAAACTTGGTGTCGCGGTAATCTGTCCGCCGAATGAGCACCGGACCTTCAGACGCAGAGCCGCTCTCGACATCGTCGCTGCCAGCCGGGTACGGAGCATACCCATGCTTGGCGGGCCTAGCCCTAGGCCCTCCGTCCTCCCCTCCTCTCCCTTGCTTCCTCATGTCGCCACGTCCTTGCTTCCCTCTGCTCGCCCCTTTCTTCCTCTTGCCATTACTCCCCCTCCCCTTATCCTTCCCACCGTTGTGCCGCCCGACGCGCCTGTCCCTGCCGCGCTTTTTGCCGCGCTTGCGGTCGCCGTCAGACTCGCTCTCGAGGGACTCCGGCTCGCTGCTTTCGGTGCTCCGATCGTCGTAGTTGGACTCTGACGCCGAGGACTCCCCCGAGTCAGAGTCGCTGGAAGAGGACGGCGAGTCTGATTCCTCGGGAGAGTCTTCGCGCTTTTTCCGTTTCGTCTCGCGGTCGCGGCCTCTTTCGCGGCGTTCTGGTGATGGGGCAATGGCGTCGCTCTTCGCTCGACGGGTGTCTCCATCGCGACGCTCCCATTCGCCGTCCTTGTCCTTATTTGACAGTTTCTCTAGGCTGGTCGTCGCGGCCACGGTCGCGCGGCCTTCCACACGAGCGGGAGTCTTCAAGACGGGGGCCGCAGCAGCGGCCTGCGAGGGCCTCGCGCGATCCGACTCCGCCACATTGTTTGCGACAGTTTCACCGTTAGGGGAATCATCGTGCGACGGCGGCATGGCGCTAGCAGGGGACTCCACGACGACCATCGCCACTTCCTCAACCACCTGAGGCGCGTCTGCTGCGGTCGTGGGTGGACAATCGACGTTCATTGCGGCGCTCATCACGACGCGGTTCCGCGTCGGTGCGGCAGCTGCGGGAATGGGAGCGGCGCTCGCGTCCGCCTTCGCCGGAGGGGTGCCGGCCTCTGGGGCTGCGACCACTTTTGCTGCCTTTGTATCCTCCTCTGCTAGCGCTGCATCCTCCTCTGCTCCCGCCGCATCCTTGTCTGCTACCGCCGCATCCTCCTCTGCTACCGCTGCATCCTCATCTGCATCCGCTGCAGACCCCTCTACTGCTGCTGCAGTGGCCTTCGCTGCGTTTCTCTCGGCCTTTTCCCTTACGGCCCGTTCTTTTTTCGTCTCTGCCTTGGGCTTCTTGGGGGCGTGCGGCGGTCCATCATTCCCTGCAAGGCGGCCCGGCAAGGCGCAATGTCAGGGAATGTTAAATACGAAGGCACAACAAAACCGCCACCTGGCGGGTGGAGCATGGAAGACAAGTAGCTCACCGGGGGTGCCGACAAGATCGCCTATCGGTTTCTTCCGCTGAGCCGACCTTTTCATTGGGCTACGAAGCCCGCCCGGCGCGATGTCCCCGTAAGGGTCCTCTAGGGCATCGTCGTCGCCATCCGGCTCGGAAGAGTTGGCGTCACTTTCCAGCCCGTCGCCCTTCTTCACCGAAAGCTTGTTTGCTTTCCGGTATTCACGGACCGCTTCTGCAGTTTCCTGTCTAGTAATCTTCCGTTTTTTCCCCCTCCGTTTACCCCTGGCAGGCACCTCGCCTGAGCCACTGTCGTAGTCCTTTAGATCTGCGCGCTCCTTACGGCGCCTATCTCCGCGTCTGACTTCGTCGCGTGTCATGGCTACTGGTGGAAGGGAAAATGAACGCAATCACAAGCCCTAT